TTTAAGATTGTTGAGTCATCAAGAAAATGTGTAAATAAATATATAAATTTTGTTATCTTTATTTAAAGATATAAATTTTATATATTTCTAAATTAAGTGGCAAATTTTAACTTTTTTTAACCTAAAAATATGAACTTTGCTATTTTTTATTCAAAGATATATTAGATGACAATAATAAAGTGGAAAATGTCAATCTTAATTAAAATAGAACAAATTTTGTATCCTTAAATAAAAAAATAATTCATTAGATATTTATTTAAAATTTATTAAAAATTTTAACAATTTTTATAATATCATATTCTATTATATAATCAAAGTTGTTGAATCAATTTTGAATTAAAATTGTGGAATCAATTGAATTGAAATTAAGAAAGGAAGTTATTGCGTTCATTATTACTATTATATTTTTGCTAAATCAATTTATGAAATCAAATTGTGTTGATAATCAAAATTATAATTAATTTATAATTAGAGTTTAGAGTTCCTTAACCTCCTCAATAAGTTTTCTTTAAAAGATTTATTGAATATTTATTTAAAATTTTATGAATATTTTATTAAGAAGATGTGAAGATTTTAGGAGGCCTATTGGGATAAAAGGATTTATTGAAGATTTTTAAAAAGCTCTTTGAATGTTTATTTTATATTTATTGAAGATTTTAAAAAACTCATTGTCTATTTATTTGAGGTTTTAGGAAGATTTTAAAAAGTTCATTAAATATTTATTTAAAATTTATTAAATATTTTAACAATTTTTATAATTAGGTAAGATATTACAAAAACATTTAAACTAAATGAGTTTTTTATTTAGAGTTATAAATTTATAAATTCAAATATTATAATCTTACTAGATAGAATCTAAATAAACGAACTCTTATTTATCCGAGAGAAAATAATTTATGAATAATTTTTTTTATATTATTTTTTTTGCAATTTTACATATTATTTAATAATTAATTTTTTTTATTCATTTAAAACTTATAATATTGATAACATCTACTTATTTAAAAATATAAAAAACTTATATAAAATGAGATAAAAAAATTATTACTATATCACCACCTGTATCGAAGCCAGCCCATTTGCAAACCACTGAAGTTAAGTGCAAAATAATAGAAAAATCAAACTTATTTAGGTTTTTAAATGTTAATTATCAATTATTAGCTATTTTTTTAACAGTAAAATCAAACAAAACTTTTATATTTTTGTATAAGAGCTTGTAAGTTGCAAATCAAGTTTTTCCTCTCTCTTTTTTCTCCTTTTATGTTCAGCTTGTTGACTTGACCAAGTTTGGCTTCTAATGTGGAATATTATATAAAATCTTGAGTACCATAGAAATATTACTGCTTAATCAAATTAGCATTGGCGATGGAAAAAATAAAAAACAAAAAAGAAAGAATTAAGATTAGCTAACAATTAACTTTTCTATTAAAAAAAATGCAAAACACTAAATAAAACCGCATTCAAATTCTGTTATTTTGTTTAACAAAATAACCTTAAAGCAAGTTTTTTTTGGGGGGGGGGGGGGGGGCAGAAAGCTTGAACCAACTCTTAATGATGGTGAAATTTCTTATCAAACCGATTGAAATTATATAGAATAAAGCAATAATTTTTGGAAAAAGGTTGAAAGAGCAATAACAATAAAAAAGTTGAAATTTTTTTAAATAAAAAATTCAATCTCATTTGAATTAGAGTTTAGCTTAATTGAATTCATAGAAAAAGCTATTTGCACCAGCCGTTGAGTGTACTGTATTAAAAAAAATATATATATATATATATATACTCGGCCACCAACTTAACACTTCTTTTGAATTTACTTAATAAATGAATCAAATTTCATCTTGATCTTAAACTCAATAAATTTATTAAACTTGAATTAAAGCACTTATACTTGTCTA